GACCCAGCCAAGCTGCTGGAGGCGCTCAACAGGCAAGGCGTTTCGGATTTGCATCTGCGTATTTATTTAATATGGGGAAGCGGGAGACCGCTTCCGCTGCAATACGCCGGCCGTAGTGGTTGGATGTGGACTGGATGCTATTTTGATTGCGGGTGGATGGGATTGTTCAATGTTGCGGAAGTGCCCTTGCCAGTCATGTAAGGGCACGCAGGTCACGGGGATACCAAGCCTGAGAAACACATTTTGTGAATGAGACATCGCTTGCGGATTTGGCCATGCCCCACCAGCAACATGGGACCTGGCGTGCAAGTTTCAATGGTTCCATGCAGTGGCTGGAGTGGGGAGGTTGCTTGGATTGGTGGTACTCTGTGCAAGCATTATGGTGGCGCCCCCACTTCAAGCCGGTCGGTTAGAGGTTCGGTTGAATCCAGGACAACTGCGTATTTCGAAATTCCACTTTTCCACCAATGCGCATGATGCAGACAGGTTTGGTCCCTTCAAGGCGAACATCATTTTCCAGGGGACACCTCCCAGCATCCTGCTGAGGGTGAGAGCCCATTGCACAACGATTGTTTCATTAAGTGCCAGGAGTTCTCTACTACAGTAGGTTGCCAGAGGCGAGTCACGCTTTCCAGGGAAACTTAGCCCGTCCCGCCCATCCACCCCCACCGTTGCTTCAAGAAATACTGGAAGTAGAGAGCATGGAAAACCTTGTAATTTGAGTCCCACTCCCAGACACACGCAAGGCCACAAGTTGGTGGTGCCCTTTGTTAGCGCACCAAGTGTTCAAACTGTAGTTTCTAGGTCTGGATCAAGATTCAAGAAGATTCAAGATGCTTCAAGTGGACACTTGAAGGAAACAAAGCCCGCGCCTATGCAAAACCACGTGGCAAAGAGGGGGAACACAACTTTGTGAGAGCGTTCAGGATCAAAGAGGTGCAATCGAAATATGTGGCTGATTTGACGTTATTGCTTCTCAGCCCTTCTTGTCTCCAGCAAGAGACAGGGGTAAGCCTTTGATTTGCAGACACATTGTGTCGAAAGACATGTTGCTTCTCTGAGTGCTCCTCATGTGTTTTGCCCCTTCCTGACTGCTTGTGTGCTCTGGACGTAGTCTTTCCAAAGTTTTGTAGTCTTCCCACCGCTTTGCCCATTGTTTTTTTCGAGCTTTTTTTTCATATTCCCCATAGTAGTCTGATCTTTCTGCATCTTCCTAAAGCATGTTCGTAATCTTCGAAGCCTTTCGGAGTTGATGTCTTCCCGCAGCCTTACGGTCCTCCCACATGCGAGCCCTGCAAACCGGTGAAAGCAACAAGGAAACAAGCTGAAGCACAGAAATCAACGCGGATACCACGCAGGCAGCCCAACTGGGTCTCCGAGCAGCAGCCGGTAGAGTGCCCTCCAGTGGCCACGCGAGTCGCAGAAGCCCGGGACTTGGTGACCTGACAGTCGCAGAAGCTCCCTGGACTTCCCCTTTTGGTTAGCTTCAACATCGCCTGGGCGAATATCAAGTACCTTTTGATCGGGTGACCTTTGAAGAGAGACACAGAGAATCCTGCATGAAGATTTGGCCGGTGGACTTGCATGTCAACATTGGGTGGTCTCTGGTGTTATTTTGATCTTGTTCATTCCTGCAGGAGGTGGTTCACAATGGGTTTCGCGATCTGCAACTCGGATCTGGCTGGCTGATGTTTTCCGGCTTCCGCTTGAGCAGTGCAGAGGTCTCCCTTGGCTTTCTCAAAGGACTCTTCTTGTGCTGCGGGCTGCTTAGTTCCTGGGTTCGGGACGCCAGGCAACGCCCAACAAGAATATGCAGCGGCTGCTCAGCAAGGCGAACAGCTGGGGAGAAGATGAAATCAGGAAACCCAATGACAAAGGATTCCTGCAGGGTCAAGGGTCTACGCCCGCCCTTTCAATTTGTTGTTTTAACAGTTGGATTCTGTCTTGGCTGCGCTCGTGATCACCAGGTCACTTCGAAGTGACCAAAGGGGTTTGTCACTCATTGCCAGTTGATTCCACCCGAATTGGTGCACCCGTGGCGACCCCTTAAGGCTCCGAACCGGTGACGCCAACAGCGGTGGTGGTAGTGGGGTGCAACCCTAATGGTGCCAGGTACCCTTGACAACTTAGGTTGCTTCTGATTGTGAATGCTGTTCGAAGTTTGCCAAGGATTTTGAAGCTTTTGTTGCGTGTCGTTTTTTCCCGAGACCCAAACCAACTGTGGCTGTGCAGGTTAGGGGATCAAGGCACATACCCAACTTGAGCTTGAATTTCTGGCCTGCCAACAGCAAACGGCCGGACAGTAGATTCGAAGCACGGGCACGCCCCTGATTCAGACCCAGAAGGAACTTCACGGGTGTTCAGGGGATGATGAGAACCCTTAGGCTGCCCGGGCATCAGTTGCATTGCAAGCCGCGGGCTGAACCAACCAGAAGCCACTCGGGGGAACTCGGCCGCGGCAGGTCGAACTGCACATGGACTGGCAGGTGCAGCGGCAGGCGATGGAAGTGAGTTGGTCGGAAAGAAGAGGTCCTCTAGGTGCTTCTCCGTGACAAATAGCTTGATGGTGTTTAAGGGAGCTTGTGCTGTGTGCGACACAAGAAGCAGGGAAGTATGTTGTCCATACACTTACTTGTGTTTAGTACTTGGGATACACGATGTGTTAGAACGTGTTAGAGTAACCCACAAGCCTCTTGAAAACAGTCAACAAATAGCATCCCCAAAAATAATGCAAGCGCGGGGAAAGGCTCTTCAGCCCAGTTCCATTGACTGACCTCTGCAAGTTATGTTGCTTCAGCATTTTGCCGAGGGTCAAAGTGAAGCTACCAAAACTTGGCTTTTGTTTGTTGGTGCTGAAGCTTGTCTTGAAGCTTACTTGGATTGAGTGGTGCTTCGCCCAAGGGAGTTCTCAAATGCTTGTTCCATTGGCTTGAGGCAAGCGCTCAAGCACGATATTATGAGCGATTTGATATTTGTTCAGATCTCAGAAAGATGGCTCGTGGGAAGCTGGCGAGGTTTGCAGTTTTGTTGCGGGGCATTTGGGTCCAGCTGGACAGACATCCTTATTCTGGGCGATGGGTGGTCCTGATTGAATCGGGCCACACATGTGGACATTAAACCTATCTTAAGCATGAGCGCTCAGCTGCAAGCTGTGATAACACAGCAAAGTTGGTCGGATTCCGAGAGTGGAAGGCTGTCACGGCCTGGGGCCCCATGCATTTTGAGAAGTCAGGGATGGGGATTCCGTGGCAGGTCGCCTACAGTGACGTACGCAAAGCTGTGAAGCTGAAAAGCTTGAACCGCGGCTGGCGGACACCGGACCCTTCTCCAACACGCAAGGAAAAGGAGGCGCGGCATGCCAAGCTTTTGCACGCGGTAAGATTTCGACAGAGCCTAAGGACGAGTCCGACACTGGAGCCGGCTTGGATGCCTGGCACGCATAGCAGCCTTTTGCTTTCACAATGGGAATCGCTCCCTGCTGAAAAAACGCAAAAACTTATTGGCAAGGTGATGAGCCACTCAAAGAGCCTTTGGCCTTTGGCGAACGACTTGTACCAATAAACCGGTCATGCCTTGCAGGTTGAAACTGCAGTGCTTCTAAGGGCCAGAGGGGCCGCAGCCAGATGGCACAAAGCATGATCCACCTGGCAGACCTTGATTGGAGATCAAGGTCCACCTCTGAGAGGGTCTAGATCAAACGGGAGGGCGCCTACAGTGCGCTCGGCTCGAATGGTTCGACTATTTTCCCGCAAAGCGCGCCACTGGGCAGTTTGCTTGGTTCCGTGGCATGCTGGCGTTGATCCTTGCCCTTCCCCTGGCTGTCCGCTAGGGGGGTGGCCCTCTCCAAATCCAAGACTTGAGGCGCTTAGCAGACCATGCTGCACTTGTGGCTGGGGGAAGCAGGGCCAAGTTTCCCACCACTTGCTCAGAGCTCACCATTCAACTTGCCACTGGTGCAGCGCAGTTAACGCGTCTCAAGCCTTTTTGCAGTTAAATTGACAGAAGGTGCCAAGGTTCGCCAGCTACAGAGATCGAGGTCGTTGAGTCTGGCTCATTCGAGAAGCCTCAGTTCCCAAGTTGTCTCATAGCCTGTTAAAGTGTCGCGCGATGCAGCCGAGCTAATGGACCCTCTCCAAGCAGGCGGACCAGTCCCAGCTCAAGACAGGAAGCATCTTCCAAAGACCTGTCAGAGCTTTAGCCCTGCTCGACGTGCTTGTTCCAGTTATTGTGCCACAATTCTCTCAGAAAGCAACACCTTGTGGCGTCAGCCGTGGGGTGGAGCGAAGGGAAGGAAGGGTGCTCAATGATAATGCTAAGTTGTGTATCCCGCTTATTGAATGGTTTTGTGGTTTGGCTGTTGCGTAAGAAGCACACACACACATGAGACGTCACACACACACATATATATATATATATACATAATATATATATATGCACATAATTTATATATATATATACATATTGACGTATTCAACATTGCTCTCGATTGGGCAGGGCGCGCGTGGGCGCAATGCAGTTCCGGGCAGGTCTTCCAGACTTCACTCATTGGTGCTGGGACAATTTACAGCTAGCTTTTTGCTTGTCGTATTCTAATGCGGGCAAGTCTCAAATTAGGAGACCAGATCATCGGCATTCTAAGTTTGAGACATGCCCATGTTCTTCTTTTAAATGATGCGTGGCGCCGACTCTCAAGAAATGCACAGCAAAGAAAGGCTGCGCACGTGACAGAACGCATGTCTTGCCTTGGCCTTGCACGTGACCGGTGTGGGAGACCGCATTCAGATCGGCAAGCAAAGCAAGATCCAAGACATGCGCTTGCCCAGCCATATCTACCCCCGGCCTCCAAATGCATCATGGCAGATTTCCCGTATGTCAACACGAGATTGTGATTCTCCAAACGGCAAGGTCATGTTCGCGCGAGTGTATGGGTTGAGGCCTTGTGAGGAAAGGACTTGGGGCCAGCGTGGAGGGCCGTACAGTTTGTTTGTGCCATTGCCGAGGTTTGCCATTCGGGAGAAGACCCGGTCCAACCCCTCAGCGGCCACTGTCTACTTTGAGGAGCCGACGACGCCAGCCAAGAGATGCGTGAGTTTGCATGTGAAGCAGGGAGAAACACGATCACTTTGGATGAGTCCAGGGAGTCCATTTGGGTTCCACCGAGTTGCCCGTGGTGTCTGCGGAATTGCTGCTAACGGGCGGGGCATCTTTCACTAGCCGCTTATCGCGATGCAAGCGTGCCTTTGTGCATTGCCTTGCCAGACTCTCTTCAACGCGCCGGAACCTCAGAGGTGTTGCTAAGGTCAATCGCTATGTTAAGAAACCGTGTGTTTTGACCAGTGTCTGGAATATTTCTTAGACATTTGATGGGGAATAAGAAATGGTGGTCTTAATCCAGAGTCTTGACAGGATTTTTAATTTGGTTTTTGAAAGAAGGTGTTTCTTTAGCCCTTGTTACCAGTGTGTTGGGCTCGTTTTGACCCTGGTTGGGGGCTTTGGGTGTGGTCGGGTTGGTTTTGACCATCTTGATTTCCTTTGTTCAGGGGCCTGAGAATTGGGTGTTCGCGCTTTTGGGGAGCAGCGCCAATTTCCAAACTCTGAGCTGGAGGTGTGGTAAGTTGTCAAAAATGAGCTCGAGGACAACTTGTTGGCCATGAGACAAGCCTGCAAAGAGGCACTTCTTAAGCAGATGTACTGCGCCTAAAGGTGCAGCATGAGGTAAATCAAGGTTGGTGACCTTCAGATTTTCCTCGAACACACTCAGGGACCGTAGTCACAGGTCAGCTCTTTACGGCAGGTGTCATCAGCAATGTGCTGTTTGGATTCATGGCTTGCATGCCTGGACTGGGGGCTTAGGCACCTGCTAAGGCACAACATGGGCTGGGTACTTTCCACCACCTTCACGAAGACTCGGTCAGCAGGCCAGCTTAGCCCTGCACAAGAGTGCTGCAGATTCGCCATCTTGGGAAATGGGGCATGTGGGGGCGTCTTTCAGTTTGCTAAATCTATTATTTGCAATCACCCGCTTCAGGGCAATGATGGACATTTCTCGTGTTCAAGAGTTTTGAGACCACGGCACAGACGCAAAAATATCGACAGAGCAAGGAGTTGGTCAAGATGAGCCTGACACCCGCAAACTGGAGGCAGCTAGCTTGGAAGCGAAGCCCTGGCAGATTCTATTCTGGATGTTCAGCGGCTGTTTTCGGGTGTTGTTGGCCCGGAACATGTTTTGGCTGCTACTTGGGTTCAAATCACTGCTTCAGCCAACTTGACCATTTCTACAACTGTGTTCCGCGCCGGCTAGACACATGCTTAGTGGCGTCCAAGGCCAGCCCTGAGATAGGGAGAGCAACACATCTCAGGCAGACTTGCCCTGTGCCACTCGAATTGTTGCTTGGCTTCTGTTCCCCAAGCGGCCTCCAGTCGGGGATCCGCCAAGTTCCCCTCAAAATTGCCAAGTGACGTCAGAACGGCGTGGTAAGAGGTTTAAACACGTGCTGCAAGCCCGAATCGGTGGGCGTCGGGAGTGCAATGGTTGAAGGGCTGCGCTGTTTTCTCGGAAGAGGGGAGATGGGCCAGTCTTGCGCCCGGTCCCTTGCCCTAAAGTCCAGTTTGTCTCTCCCCACATACAACCCCAGCGGCCAATCTTAAATGGCAGCATGTTTTTCATCGCCTATGGCCACGGAACTCGTGTCCGTCGGAGCCGTGCGATTTCCGGTCGAATGGTTGAAGGTAGTCTAGCCACAGGATGGTGGGCTCCTCATGCACATACTGACATACCGCATCATATAGCATCAAATCGCCTTATGCCGCGCAACATACCTTTGCTTGAACAAGCTGGCATGTCCATGAAACGGTGTCATCATAGGATTTATGCCTCGCAAAGCGGCTCAAAACTAGCCTAGCGGAAATGGAATCTACAGGACATTGGGGTTTGCAATGCTTTTCATGCTTTTCCCTCGCAGGAGGCTTGGCACAGCAAGGCAAGTGCGGCGAGGCAGGAAGGGTCGCGACCCAGCCATGGGATTTAGAAGACATCGTTGGGATGTTTGGCACTGAACATTTGGTTTTGCTACGCAACAACTGTGCACCCGCAACAACCGGCCCGCCGCTCGTTGTGATGGCACAGCATAGCTCAGATCCTTGGAAGAAGTAGCAAGAAGCCACGATGCCATCCCTGAGCCGTGATACGAGATGCAATGCTTAAAGCCGCCAACAAGTGCAGAGGATTTTGGACTCGGGCCTGGCACTAGGACCCCCCATGGACCCAAACCGAAGCATTCATTGGGATAACATTTGTGGTGAACCCGAATCATGAACAGGCCGACACAACCGCGCGCAGGGCATGACGCAAGACGGCCTGGTGCACGGCCATGCTGGGAGCCTCAAAGGTTCTGGAGGCACAGGCTTGGTCAGCGGAAGGCTCAAGGCTTGATGCTTGCCTTGTGCCAGGAGGCTTGTGGTTGGCTCGTTGTCAGCGGCGCTACGAATCACTCCCAGTTGGTAGGCTCAAGGAAAAGCTGAACTTAAGCGACCTAAACAGCCAAGATGCGTTAGCACACGCTGAAGGATTCGTATCAAAGGTTGAGAAAACATATGGCATACTATGCTTTTGAATTCACGCCTACGACGCTAGCGCTAGCATTTCATGATATACAGTATGCTTTACTTGAGTGATCATGATATGGCATCGGGGTGGTTCTTGCTCCAAACTCGGTTGCTCGGCTGCATTCCCCAGGTCTACTCAGTGCTTCGGGTGGTGGAAGCTGGCGGACACAAGTTGGTTTGCTGCCATGGCCTCAGCAAGCCGCCCAGGATCGGCGATGGTTTCATGTTGCATGGGTACCGTATTATATACCCCTCCCACGGCTACAATGGCTGCGATGGAAGAATCGCTGCAACTTTTCACCAGCAGGCAAAGATCACTATCTATGAAACATTGCCAGGTTGGATTTTGCCTCCAACTGCACCTGCTTCTCAAGTTGCTTAGTCCAACAAAACGGGATCCATGCCCCCTTGGGGGCGAGCTATAGGTTTGTGGGCTGGCCTGAGATCTTCATGCGCCGCCTCTTGAATGTGGAGCTTGTTGCTTGAAGCTGACAATGAAACAGGCAAAGCCGGTACAGTCTTCATTTCGCGGCACGTTCGATAGGACTCCCCCAGTTCACTGGTTCGAAATGGGCCACGTACCTCATGTCTGCCTCGGATGAGGCCGCAACCCTTGGGGCGCTGGAGAATGGAAGGGCAAGTGGTCCGATACGACACTTGGCCGCATGGGTTGTGGGTTGCTAGGTTTTGTAGTTTTCAGCCGTCAGGAATCAGTTCGGTGAGTGGACGGAAGACATGAAGGCGAGAAGTTCCATCAGAATGCGCAACTCGGAGCAGACTTGTCATGTTGGTGCTCAGTTCTTAGCCACCTCTGGACAATCCATCTTGAAGCAGCCCTTCTGTCGGCCCTGTTCAGGGGAGGGTAGCGAACCACGTTGCAATTGCACCTTTGCAGCCAGTCTTACATCACAATTATCCTTCGGGCCCTGTGAGCTCCAGAGGTGACTGCTGGTGGGAGGTTAGCTGACACTGTCAGCTACACGCCAGGCGGCGTGCGAGTACAAGGGCGGCGAGGATGGCACCTTCTGGATGAGTATCGAGGACGCTGATACCGTTTCTTCACCTCCTGCTAGCTTGCCAGATGTTTTGACAAAACTTCACAGGACTTTGATTGGCCTCCTGCTTGAAGGCCAGAAGTTTGAACTGTTAGGAGTGCGCTTATGAAGCAGTCAACCTATTTACAGCGTCATCAAAAATCCATCTCTTTGGAAGGGACGCACCACGTTGCATCACAAAGTACACTTTTTGCCACTTGATCAAAGGTAATGTCTCAGCAATACTTGTGCCACGAGCTCGGGATAGAAGGCGCGCAGCCATGGTCTCCGACAATCTGCATGGTTGAAGAGAGGCGGAGTAAGCCAGGTTGGAGTTTGGCTGCTTGGCTACAGAGTGCTCCGTTGCGCCAGTCAGTGGAAACTTATGAACAACATGTTGGGTTGCCGGGGGGGGTTGGCCCGGGACGATGGCGAGTTGAAAGTGCATCGCATTGAACAGGTGCTCAAATGTGCCACGAATCACTGCATTTTCAAGCATGCCTCCCAGGAATGTCGCTTACCAAACCCTGCAACTTCGCGTACCCGAGATAACAACTGGAGTACGCTGCCGTGACAGTTCCACGTTTTTTTAATCAGCGGACGTATATATATATATGTATATATGTATGTATATATAAATAGATATATATATATACACATAAAAATAGACATATATATATATATATATATATCGAAATATATATATATATATATATACGTACATGCCTCTCGTGTAGAGCATCCACATACCGCACATCTTCATGCCACCACTTTCGCAAGAACGGAATGGGCGATACCTTCGCCAAACGAAGTAGTATGACCAAAGCTAAACCTGCAGACTCCATCTGCCTGAGCACTCAAGAAGGTGCGAGCACGTTACAAAGCAATCCTGCATTACATCACCCCGGCCGAACATGAACGCTATCGTCCCCACCCCACCCCACCCCAAGAGCGGTCACCTCTCATCTCATGAGCGCTATCATCCCCACCCCACCCCACCCCACCCCACCCCACCCCACCCCAAAGAGCGGTCACCTGTCATCTCATGAACGCTATCGTCCCCACCCCACCCCACCCCACCCCACCCCACCCCAAAAGAGCGGTCGCCTCTCCTCTCATGAACGCTATCACCCCCACCCCACCCAAGAGCGGTCACCTCTCATCTCATGAACGCTATCATCCCCACCCCACCCCACCCCACCCCAAAGAGCGGTCACCTCTCATCTCATGAACACTATCATCCCCACCCCACCCCACCCCACCCCACCCCACCCCGCCCCACCCCGCCCCACCCCACCCCGGGCCAACCCCCCCCGTCAACCCAACATGTTGTTAGTTTATTGATTCATATTGTGCATGCACCTTCCGATTTGGTAGCCGATGCTTGCTTTCCAACACCCAGGGCCCTCAGAGTCAGCTCAAGCCAAAATGGGTCAAGGGTGGCGCTTAGGGCCGTGTGTTGTTGCATGTGATGTTGATATCGACCGTAAAGGCCCGCGTGTGAGGCACGGGACGGCCCGCGGCCGCAGAAGAAGCAGGGATGGGAATGCCCAGCGCCGTCCGTGGAGGCCGGAATCGTCTTGATTCCAACAGACCGTCGGGCATGATGCCTACTATGGAATCTTTGGTGCATTTTGCCTGGATGCTAGGACTTTAACTTTTGGCCAACTAATGGGTAGTTTAATATTAAACCACTAAAAGTTATTTTTTTAGCACTTGATGGAGCCATATATCCTCCAGTGTGCCCACATGCAGAAGTGATGTGATGGAGCGGATGGAGTGTTCCCTGCAGTCAATTCCAGATGCTGGGGAAGCCACTTGCCTTGATGAGAATGCCTCGGTTGGTCTCATTTCTAAAGACCAGACAGTTCAAATTGAAAATGCCATACAAATAAAGACCAAATTCATAAAACCAACAAAAAAAGCAAATATATGTCTAATTCGCTCCCTCTTGCTTCGGCACATCACTGTTTCACCGAGAGGACTGGGCAGACTACAAGCAATGGCTGCAGCAGCAGGACAGATCGGCTCACGCTTAGACCTCATGAGACTTGCGCTCTTAGATACATTCTGTCCGCGAGCCGCCGGGTGCAGGCTCTTGGGTGCCAATGTGCTGGCATTAGCGGGGGCATGAGTGGACATTCTGATGTGACCCGCGTTCCAGCCAATGACACGAGTCGAGAGATGGTTGCATCATGTTGCATCCAGAGTCCCCCATGGTCCGTCACAGATAAATGCAATGCATGGCTATGCCCTTTTCTTTTTTGCCCGGCAATGCTGGGATTTTGCCTCCCCAGACGTCGCCTAAGGAGTGGCTCGTGTTCCTTACAGGAGCGGAAGGACGAGCTCCCCGCGGCGCCGCAGATCTTTCTGGCAGACATCGGCCTGCTCTTCCACCAGGACGGGGGCGGGTTTCGGGGTTCGCCGTTGCGGAAATTTGGAGGGGCGGTGCGCATGATGGGGCTTTCGGGCATCAGATTGCAGCCGTTGCATGTTTTTGGGTCAGGGAACGGCAAAATGTCGTGCATCCCGGCACGCCCAAATCGCACTTGGCGTCACTCAGCCTTTTGACTTGAGTTTAACCCTTTCACTGTCAGCAGTCGGGTCTGATAGGCTTCTGGAGCTGCACAGGTCAGGCAACGCTGCCCACAGCCCTGGTAATTCTGCAAGGGTTTTCCCGACCTCCCTGCAAGGAAGCTAGCAGGCAGCCGACTAGTCGGAGGCGCTGTCCTTTCGAGAAAAGCCCATCTTTCAGCACCGCTCACCTCTAGTAACTCTAGCCAACTCACCCTGCATAGATCTACACCACGATCAGGATGCCTAGGTGGACCACGTCCATGCTCAACAACCGAAGGAGTTGTGCAAGGTTTATTGAACAAATGAGCGGACACATTTAGGTATGCTTCAACTGCAAATCACCTGGACTGAGTTAAATCATGTTAAATCACATGTCTTGAGCTTACTGGCTGACTCGAAGGATGTCGTGAGAAAATCTCTCCTCATCGAGCATGATTTCTTGACCCTCTTCCTTCGAAGCACCTTGTTTTTGCTAGGGGAAATCTTGAACCTCTCCACCACCAAGCGATTGTGACATGTTGTGGGTCACACATGAGAAGAGCCTAACTGTGCTGTCCTCGAGGACCTTTTCGCAACGGTTGTTTTCCAGACTGGCTAATACTCACCCAGCCAGTGGACACACTTGACACTTTTTTTCTTGGTGGCTCTCCCTTTATTTTGGTGGTGGCCCAAAAAGTGTACATGTTTTGGGCTGGTCACTAGCCAAGTGAGAATAAACGGCTGATTTCATCGGATTTTCACGTGAATGGAAAACAAAGACTAAAACCTGCGGTCCCCTGGTGGTGAATTTTGACCCATACCCTTGTGGTCCCAAACAAACCCAGTGACTTCATTCGTTTTCTCCTTCCGACTACGAGGACCCGGAGGTGAAGCTGCCGTGGATCCACCGGGTGAAGTGTGAGCTGCCGCGCCGCGTGGGGCGGCTGGCGGGGGAGCTGCCGGTGAGGGCCAGCTACATAGGCCGACGTGCGCTGGGGCGTCCGGCCCCGAAGCCATCGCAAGTCTGGACCTTTCAAATGGCCGTGGGTGAAAAATAGGTAACATGGAACCCTGGTAAATGGAACCAAGGACTAAACCTGCGGTCCTCTGGTGGTTCAATTTTGACCCATACCCAAATGATTTCTCCGCTGTGTGCGGGAAATTTGCTCAATCAAGGTCGGGGAATTGACTCATGTTGATTCTGGAAGAAGGCTTCATGTTTGCGGATGCGTGTTGGCAAATCGCATGGAGAACGATTGGCGACCTGCAAAAATCGATGCCCTGGCACGACACCCTTGCAAAATGCCAAAAGTTGGAAAGCAATAGTGGCCGGCTCTGTGCACTCTACATGTACGTGTGCTTGAGTGCTTGAGTGATTGTTTGTTTGTACTTTACGCCTCCCGGCCCCAACAGCGCACGCTGCGGCACGTTCATTCACTGTGTCCCCGAGGTTGCGTTGCTTGATTTGCACCAATGCCCTACAACGCCTCACTCAATCTTACCGAAACAGGAGTGCATTTCCAGCTACTCGGAAAAAGACAACTACAGAAACAAGAGCCGCAACTCAGTAGATCTCTACTCAAGATTCCAATTTGTCAGCCCTTGCAACTTGACACAATACTGGAGCAACCGCATTGTCCGCTTCCTGGGCTCCTTTTCCCAGGGCTTCTCATTGCAGAGCTCAAGTGAACTTTGGGGTTCCAGTGATGTCTTGAGCTCTGGTAAAACTGGCGTCATGAGAATTCTCGGGACTTGGAATGCCAGGCTGTGCTCGGGACGAGCCGGAGGAAGGCTTTGAGGTCTTCAAAGAGGCCATGGCGGAGATCGGAATCATCCTGTGCCGACATATCCACCATCCTCCCAGCCGCACCTCGGGGAACGATTCGAGGTGACCACTCCTTGCTAGCGGTTTGGTTGGTTCAAGCGGCACAACCTCAGCTTGGGCTCATCTCTTTGCTTGGGCTGTGCTCCAGTGTGTTGCTCGCTGGTTTCGCGGCTTTTTGAGTGGCCACATTTGAAAGTTGCGCCTGAAGGCAGGGTTGGCCTTGGCATGTTGGCATGATCCCTGTGCACGGATGCTATCCCTATGCATACGCCCTCAAGAAGCCATGCATAGGAAAGGGACCGGAGTCGATGGACAGGTCTGCCTCCCCCTTGCCATGCTGGACGCTCCTCGCGGTGTCGGTTTTGAGGCTTCGAGCTGGCCCACCTGGAGCAGTCGGACCTGGTCCTGGTGGACCGCGGGGCCCGACACCGGCTCTGGGAGACCTTGGGCACCGACATGGGCGGCAACGAGGCACTTCGCGATGTATCGATGCGATTTATTGATGCAGGGTTGGGCAAACTCATGAGGAACAGGTCGGGCATTTTATCTGGCATATGCTTTCTTGTTTCGGACTGTGGCTCAGACGTATTCATAGTTTTGCTCCCGGCCAAACTTACACATCAACAGGGCATGCAGCAATGGGATTAAGTGATGTCAGAAAGCCAGCAGTGTGACGGCGCGCATGACGGGCATACTTGCCACGCTGCCTGTTTGCCAAAGCACCACCCCTTAGTAGATTGTTGTTCACTATTTAACGGGCAAGTCTGGGAGATACACAAACATGTTTGGACAACTTGTGGGAGCCTGCTAGCGTGTCAGGTTGCAGAGCACGTGAAGTGGCGCTACTTACAAGGCGCAGCCCTGGCATTTTGCTACGCACACACGCGCCATACACACACATATACATATATATATATATATGTATATTTGATGACATATGCTTATCATACACAGTTGTGGACCTGTATTTCGGCGGTGGGGAGGCCTGTGTCAGACTTCGAGGCAACAGTGTGCAGGGCCTGCTGCTCCTTCGCTGCGCGGCCCACATGTGGGATGTCAGGCAAACAGCAAAAGCAGCACATGCTGTCAACGGGTTGCGCCTTGAAGGTGCCGTCATCATCGCTGTGGGCGAAGCCATGAGCATGCTCGGGGAGAAGTCGTGGTATTGCTCCACTGTGGACAGCTCGGTGATCCCTTTCAAGGGAGCCTCGGATGTGGCACAGCGCACAGTAGGTGGAGCGCTTCACCCCTTCTTCCAAATGTTTTGTTTCAGGGCTTTGCAGGCTTTCAGTTGCTAAGGCAAAACGGATGACTTTGCAGGCTTTCCGTTGGCCCTATCCTATTCCGTTGGCCCTATCGGCTGAAGCAAAGTAGGGGCTCAAGAACGCTCACAGCAAACCGTCGCGCTAGCTGGGATCGTCATGACAGAGGCGGAGGCAGTGATTCGAAATGAGTCGGGCTACATCACGCACACAGCCAAGAAGGACTTCGGACCTTTGGAGTTCACGGGCAAGATCGCGGGTGGGCTGAGGCTCGACATCCGCAGGCGGGCGCCCCTCTACCTCAGCGACTGGACGGACGCCTTTAAGTCCCAGAACATCCAGAAAACGGTGTCCTCCGTTCTCTACCTGTTCATTGCAGCGCTGGCCCCGGCCATCACGTTCGGGAGCCGGTTTTTGGACGGCACCAAGGGTCAGTTTGGAGTTCTGGAGATGATCATGTCATCCGCCATCAGCGGCATGCTGTTTTCTACCTTCGCAGGGCAGCCCTTGTCCATCCTGGGTGCTACTGGCCCCTTCTTGGCGTACACGCTGGTCGTTTTTGAGATGGCAGAAGGAGCGGACCTGGAGTTCATGCCTTTCTACTTCTGGGTTTGCATGTGGTGTTCGCTCTTCACAATCCTTGTGGCTGTGTTTGACCTGTGCGCCCTGATGAAGCACGTGACCATGTTTAGCGAGGACATCTTCGCTGGCCTGATCAGCCTGATCTTCATCATCGACGGCGTGACCCCCTTAATCCGGAACTTCTCTGACGGTCAGATGAGCCTGACCAATGCCATGTTCGAAGCCTTGCTGTTCCTCTACACATTCGGGCTTGCCAGCTACCTCTCCCATTTCAGGCGCACGCCGTGGTTGCTCCGACCCATCCGCAACCTGATGGCCAACTTCGCTGTGACCATCGCCCTGGTCACCGCCTCCGCGCTGGCGGCCCTGTACTCCAGCGACACGTCACTGCGCATGCTGACTGTGGACGCCGAGTTTGCCCCTGCCCTGATCTTGTCAGACGGCAGCAAGCGGCCTTGGATCGTGAACCCTGCCGGCATCGATCGGCCCTTCCCAGCCTGGGCAATCGCCTATGCCATCATCCCCTCCATTGGCTTTGCGGTGCTGGGCTACTTGGACCAGAACTTGACGAGCGTCATTGTGAACCGGCCGTCGAACGGCCTGCAGAAGGGGCCCGGCTACCACCGCATGCACGTAGACCACCTCCTGGGCTTCATGCCCTCGGTGCATGCGGGCCAGCACTGCTGGTACGAAGAGTCTGCGTGGTGTGTTGGGGCGAGCATTGGCTTTTTCTTGTTTTTGCTCATGCTCGCCTACTGCAAGAACGTTTTCTACTCGGAGGTGATTTGCTACCTGTTCCTCTTTGCGGGTTGCCTCGGGGTCTTTCTTAAATTCGTGTTCTACACTTTGGGCCTTTTGCATGTGGGTGCCTACTACCTGTTCTCTGTGGGTTACTTCGGCAAGGCTCTTTTTGATGAGGATGATGCGCGGCCTGCGCATGAGCTGCCTGACGCTGTGGGAGCGAGGGCGGACAAACAAAGATCACGTCGGCATCCTGCCAGACGGCCTTTGCATTCCTACTGCTTGGCTCTCTGGATGTCGGCTTTTGCATGGTCTGCTCACAGGGTTGGTGATTGCAGACGGAGGTGGAATCGAAGGGTCCGGTGGCGCTCCAGGCACCGTTTCCGTGCTTTTGTGCCCCAGCTTCTCTCTTCACAAGTGGTGGCACTATTTCCTCGGGATGGTCAACGGGATCCTGGCGATGACTGTCGTGATGCGCTTCTTCATGGGGCAAGGCGTGGGTTTGCTATGCCCAAAGAAGACCATCGTAATGCCGTGGATGAACTTCGTGGTGGTGGTGGAGGCCTGGGCGCTAAGGTTTCCAGACGTCAACGTGCAGAGAAGTTGTACGATGGCTTGGCCAACCTCCTTGCGCAGCTGGGTGGTGAGGAGGATGATGGAGAGGAAGAAGTTGAGAATGGAGGTGTGGAGGACCTTTTCTGGGATCTGCAGCAGCTGATCTGGGAAAGGCCTCGGAATCCGGTGAGTGCTCTTCGCAACCTGGTGCACAAGTATGCCAACAAAGCAGGCGAACAACAACCGTGGCACTCTGAATGGGACATGCCGCCGGTCACGCAGTACAGCTATGGCCATGCTGGGGTGCAGTCAGACACTTCGTGGCGGGCGCCTGCCTCAGGATGGAGCGCAGCAATGGATGCTGAGCACAAGGTCGAGGACGAGTGGAAGATGGTATCCCGGGGGCGCCGAAAGCCTCAACCCCCCGCTGCTGCCCGCAAGGTGTTCCTCGCTGATGCTAACAAGAAGTCAGATAAGGGGAGAGCAAAGCCGAACGCGGCGACTGCTGGCCCGCTCCAACCAAGCGATTGGATCCCCAGACCTGAGGATTGGGGTCCGAGCGTCAAACTGGTGAAGCATGCCAGGGATGCGCTGGCCAACGCGCCTGCTGAACTACTGGCATACCCGCAGAGTGGAGAAGAACTGGAAAAGTTCCGCACCTTTGTGCAGTCTTCGGACCCCGACTTGGCCTTCACTGTGGTCCTGCTCAAGGGTGCGATGGAGGAGGAGAGGCTCAACTTCAGCGAGCTCACATGGCAGGAGATGAGGGTGCCGGGGATCCACCGCAACCAGCTTCGGGTGGTCAGTGCTTGGGTGGGCCAGACAGGCGTTTCCGCCCCTGAACTCCGGCAGCTAGCAAAAGTAGTCAAACCCCCCGAGCGTGCAAAGGCTGAGACAGTTGTCCTTCGTGCTCACGCTGACTGGGTGTACTTTGACAAAGAGAGTGCATGGGAGCAGGCAACCAGCAACCCTGGCAAGTCCTTCCGTCAATGGGCTACGGCGGCCTTTGGACGTGTTCATGACACCTGGAGTTGGGAGTTGACGCCTGGACCTGGTGGAAAACATGCCTGCATTCAGGGACTCGTGCGCCTCACAGTCTCGCAAGCTGCTGCGGCCTTGGGCGTCAGCGGGACCAAGCATGGAGGCAACCGATGGTTCGTGCAACACCTCAACAAGCAGCAGGTGATCGAGGGTGTGCCCCAGCTCGTCACCGATTGGGTCGACTGGCAGGATGATGAGACCTGGCAGACCTATGCGGCGAGGTGCTGGAGCTCTACGAAGGGGTCGTCGTTGGGTTTGGCTCGGGGTTTCCGTAGCTTAGGTGTTCGGCGACCCGCCACAGATGAGGACACCAACAAGCCCAGAACTGTGAGGAGACTATGGAGAGCAACCGGAGTTCCGAGGGACTGGTGCGTCGAGGAGGTTGAGGCCTTCCTGGCCGACAGCGGCTTTGTTGAGGTTGAGGTCAGCGAAAAGGTTCCTTGGAAAGGTGGCGCAGCCTGGACCTTTTACACCGTGATGAACATGGAGGAGGACTTCAGGAGCGTTGAGCTGGAGGGTGCTGAGGCGCAGATCGAGATCACCAGAGTTGGTCGCACGCGATCCTACGCTGAGGGCAAGGCGCTCCCACTTGAATGGCGACAGATCTTTGCTCAGCCCAAGGAGAAGGGACCCAAGGGACCCAAAGGCAAAGGCAAAGCCACTCCCACTTCGGCTACACCTGCGCATGGACCTGATCCACCTGCAGACCAGAACATTGAGGTGGACGACGGGAACAACGACGAGCGTGGCTTGGATGGGAAAACTAAGCCAAAAACTCCAGAGGCGCCATCCAAGCGATGCAAGACCACTTCGCATGGTATCCCATTGGGAATGGAGCTCAAAGACAACCCGGGAGCCGGGAACTGTCTCTTTGCCGCTGTTGCCGATGCGCTTGAAGCTCAAGGTCGCTCAAAGCGCTCCCCTGCTGAGATTCGCAACCTTGCAGTGACCCACCTTCGCACCCATGCTCGGTCCTATGAAGGCTTCTGGAAGGGAGACGCCCCGAGCGCCGAGGGCGCTGACATGAAGGTGAAAGGATTTGCAGAGTACCTCCGGTTGCTCGCTCGCGATGGTGCATGGGGTGGTTCGATAGAAGTCGCTGCCCTTGCTGCGACCCTGGCGCAGCCGATCTTCGTGTTTCGGCCGGAGGAGGCCGACGGCGTGAGGGTGTTCAATCCCTCAGCCAAGGGCAAGCCGCTTGCTCTCTGGTTCATGAACCGCCACTACCAGGCGCTGATCGGAGCAGTTGGCCCCGCGGACCGGGCCAAGGCTACGGCCGCTCCAATAGGCAATGCCGCTGATCGCGGCGGAGTCCCGGCCCCGAGCACTCTGGGAGGACACACGAGCGTGTTGGGGGGCCGGACGCACAATGGCGCGAAGCTTAGCGCCATCGGCGGCTGCACAAAGTCTGGCACCGAGCGGAAAAGCAGATCCCACTGGTACGATCCTTCACCAGCCGAGGTGCGCACCCTGTCCTCAAGCTCGGCTATGCGATCTCCGGCCCTTTCTTTGCCAGGGAGCGTTGCGGATCCGGATGCGGTTGAGGTCCCGAGCAAGTCCAAGTACGCCTTCCATGGCACTTTCAAGTATGAGTGTGACCTCTGCCCTTTCGCTGAGCTCTATGAGACCCGCGGACAAGCCAGTCGCGGGCGTTTGAGCCACATGCGGCGCGCTCATCCTGAAGTTCGCAAGCAAGTGGCCCGAAAGCACCAGCGCCCCCCTTTGGTTTTGGCTGGAAGCGGCCAGCTTCTCGCATGGGTTTGCCCATACTGCAAGATGGGTTGGCCCCAGGATGAGGTTGCTGATAAGCCGAGCAAGCTTCTCACGAAGTGGCGAGCTGAGCATCATGCCGAAGGTCACCCCCGTGTTTCGCATGGAGCTTGGCAGAAGGCTCTGAGGAAGGAAGGGATGGGCCCGAAATTTAGGGCGCAGCGACGAGTTTTCAACCTCAACAAATATATGGCAGTGCCCTTTCGCATGCAGGATATGCAGAACGCTGGTTTTCAGGCCTTCACCTGGCCA